CCCCCCCCCCCCCCCTGCACGCACCGTCCGCCGTCTCCTCGCGCGCTGGCCTCTTACCTGTCCCCCAAAGATGAGCCGCTTCCTGCAGAGTGACGACGAGGATGACTGTATGTTTGCGCCCCCAAAGAAGCAGGCCCGCGTCGACCAAGTGGGGTCCTCCGCATCCGATCTGCTCGACGGCTCGTCGCCCATTAACAACAAGCTCCCCGCTTCAAGCTCGGCCTCGTCGACCTCCCTCGCCACGGGTGGCGTGGCCCGCAGCGTGCGCCTCACCCTTCCTCTGACGTGTCTCCTGCCTGTCTGCCCTCAAGTCGCTAACCTCCTGCACCACTCGCCAGACCGTGTCCAAGGCCAAGGTCAAGGCCTTGGCCGATAACTGGGACGATGAACAGGGCTATTATCGTGCGCACTCGCGCGCCTGACACGCCTTCACCCCCCCCCCCTCCCCCCGGCAATCCACCCCACTGACTGTCCTGTCGTCCCCTCCTGTCCCCCCTCTCCCGCTCTTCTTCGATTTCCACAGAGATCCGCATTGGCGAGATGCTGAAGGGCCGATACCGGGCAGTGGCCCAGCTGGGTACCGGTGTCTTCAGTAGCGTGGTCCGGTGTGTCGACACACAATCCCCGGCCCCGGGTGGGGACTCGTCCGCAGCCTCGGGCGGCGTGGAGGTGGCCATCAAATTCCTCCGGAGTAATGCCACCATGCACAAGTCCGGCATGCGGGAGTTGGAGGTCCTCAAGCGGCTGAATGCCGCGGATCCGCACGACCGGAGCCATGTTGTCCGTCTCCTGGATAGCTTTGAGCATCGGAACCACCTGTGTTTGGTATTCGAGTCGATGAAGTGCGTTTTCTTTTGGTGTCCCTCCCCTGTGCTTGCTGTCGTCCGTGCCGGGGCCGCCCCTCCCTCTGTCTGACATGGATTTCCATGGCCTTCCGTTCTCCTCCCCCCTCTCCTTCTCTCTCTCTCTCTCTCTCTCTCTCCCTCTCTCCGTCTCCTTGTCTCTTTCTTCCCCCCCCCCCTATTTCCTTGGCAGGATGAACCTTCGCGAGGTGATCAAGCAGTTTGGCTTGAACACTGGGCTGAACATCCGCGCGGTGCGGGTGTTCGCGCACCAGCTGTTCCAGTCGCTGGCCCTGTTGAACACCTGCGGCATCATTCATGCCGATATTAAGCCCGACAATATTCTGGTGCGCGCGCGCTCTCTCCCTCCTTCCGCCTCTTCCTTACCTGTCGTTTGGTCCTCCTCGCTTGACTCACTCGCCCATGTCACTGTTCGAGCCAGGTCAACCGCGGCAATAACCGCCTGAAGCTTTGCGACTTCGGTTCGGCCGAATACCGTGAGGAGAATACGCCGACTCCCTACTTGGCCAGTCGTTATTATCGCGCACCCGAGGCCAGTGCGTTTTTGTTTTATTCCCCGTTTCTGGACTTCTCGCTCTGTCGTGGACCTCATTCTGACCCCCCCCCCCCCTTTCCTTCTCCCTCTCTCTCCCTCTCTCCTTCTCTCCCCCTCTCTCTGCCCTGATTGTTCCAGTCCTTGGTCTGAAGTATGGCCCTCCCATCGACGTCTGGGCTGTTGCGTGTACCCTGTACGAGCTCTACACCGGTCACATTCTCTTCCCGGGGCCAACCAACAATCAGATGCTGCGACTCTTCCAGGAAGTGAAGGGCGAGTTCCCGCGGCGGCTGCTGCGCGGTGGGGAATTCTCTTCTCAGCACTTTGACGACTCCTTCGCCTTCCTGTCCCAGGAGTTTGACAAGACCACCCGGAAGGTACGCACATGTCCTGCCACTCCTCCCGAGCACCCAGTGTCGCCCCTGACTAACAGCCAATCCATCCCCCCTTCCCTTGCCCCCTCTGTCCATCGATATGTGTTTATCTCGCCCGCTGTGTCTGCCCCTCTTCCTCCTTCCCCTGGGATTATCCGGTCTTTCCTTGCATTCCCCCGCCCCCCCCCCCCCCTCCCACCAGCCGGTCATGCGGCGCATTTTCTTTAGCCGGCCCACGCGTGACTTGAAGACGCAGCTCTTGCGGGCGGGGGGCACCATCCCGCCGCCCTCGCCGGCCGACGCGCCGCTCGTGGCGCAGTTTGTCGACCTGCTGGAGCAGTGTCTGGTCCTGAACCCGACGCGGCGTCTGGAGCCGGCTCGGGCACTGGAGCACCCATTCATCGCCACGGCCTTCAAGAATGGTCTGCCCGTCGCGCCGGCGGTCGCCACCACGCCAGCGGCCGGGGCAGCCACCGCGGCGATTGCCACCCTCGGCGCCACCACTCCCACGTTGGAGTCGCCCCCGGTAGCGGCTGTGGCCGGGCCTGGCGAGGCTGACGTGGCGGCCATGATGCTGCCCCGGTGCCCTGAGCCGGCGCCCGCCGCCGACGAACCATCCGAGCCGGAGGCCGGGGAGTTGCTCGAGTCGGAGGCGACGCTGGCGGCCCCTTTGGGGCCGTCGCATTCGGTGCCCGAGCTTCAGCGCGAGGCCTCCCCCCCTTCCGGAGGGCCTCCTCCCCAGCTGGCAGCCGCAGCGGCCGCCGCTGTGGTGACCTCGCAGTCTTCGCCGGCCCTATCGCGTGGGGCCCCGGCCGGCCGGGGCGGAGCGACGCGAGGTGGACGCGGTGGTGCAGCCAGCAGCTTCCTCCGGCCGCCGGTTGGGATGTCGGCCTTCACGCGTCTCCCACCAGGAATGTCATCCTCGGGTACCGGGGCTCGGCGGGGCGGCCGTGGGCGGTAGTGTTTTGGAGGGTCTTCTCCTTCCTGACAGGCCCCCCCCCCCCCCCCCCCTCCCACCCCCCTCCATCCCTCCCTCCGCATGGGTTTGGTTTTGATGTGTGATGTGCAATGTGCGCTTCTCCTCTTTTCCCTCCCTTCAAGGTGGCTTGGGGGCGGCCCGTCTCCCGCCTTTCCTCTTCCCTTGCCTTCGAGTGGGGGATGTGGGCAGGAAAGGCTTCTGTCTCTGTGTCTCCCCTCTCCTCCTCCTCCTCCTGCTCACCTCCTGATATAAAATGTCGTCTACCTTTTCGGTTTTTTTTTCACTTTCCAAAACGTATATTTACTGTTGCGCGCTCGCATCTTGGCACTGATGTACAGCCTCTCCCTCCATGGAGAAAGGGCCACACATCGGTCTCCTGGCGCGAGTGTTGAAATGTGGCCGCGACAAAGCACAGGTCGCCTCTTCTTGTGTGTGTGTCTGTGCGTGTGTGTGTGTGTGTGTGTGTGTGTGTGTGAGAGAGAGATCAGAAGCCAGGAGGGAGGGTTTGCGGAGAAGGGGAGAGGGGATGGGAGCAGGCATCGTGAAAGAGCGATGGGGGGGGGGGAGGAGAGATGGGCGAGGTCTGACGGAAAGCGCGCTTGCCTTTTCCCTGCACAGATATCGCGGCACACACCGAGGGGAACTTCTGTTCATCCGCCCGGTGACCAAATCCATACATTGTGAGGCATGCATATCTGCTCCAGCCAACTTCCATGCGCCAGTCTCCCCCTCCCCCCATCGGGCTGTTTTTCCGCCGACGCCGCCCCTTGACCAATGTACCACCCCCTCCCTTCCTCCGCCGCTTCTGTCTCCTTCAGTCACACTGCTTCACACACATACGCATACACGCACACATGCACAAGGGCGCCCCCCTGCAATGTCCAACGGCCACTCACATGTGCGACGTATTCGACTGCGAGCGCGATATTCACAAGCACACACAAGTGTGTGTGTGTGTGTGTGCGCGCGCGCGTGCACTAGGCACTCAGCACGGTGCTCAGCATGCGGGCGGCCTGAGACCAGTAGCCCGGGCGCTGGATCGGTGTGCTCATGTCAAAGGGATTGCGCGAGGGGCTGGTCGACATGTGACGCTGCGATGTGTGCAAGGGGGGGGGGGGGGATATCGCCGCGTGCGATGTGATTTGTCCGCGGGTGAGCATGCACACAAGCACGCGGGCGGAGCCCAACCGACAACCACACACGAAGGCACATTGGCACATACGCAAGTGGCAGAGGAGGGCCGATGCGTTCGAAGGGTCGGGGAGTGTGAGAGAGCGGCGCAACTGGCGACAAGAGCTGGTGAAAGGGGGTGCGAGGAGTGGAGAAAAGCACACACACACACACACACGAGTCCTACCCTAATGCCCTCTCCCTCCCTCTCCCTCTCCCTTTCTCTCTCTCTCTCTCTCTCTCTCTCGCTGCAACCAGCTTAGGCCGTCGCGCCTCTGCCCGCCTTTCGCTCCGTTGTCCCTTTGTCTCCCCGCTTCAGGCTCTCCACCAAGAGGAAGAAAAAATGGCCCAACACGCAGGCAGGCGGGCATACGCCCTCCCCCTCCTGCGCGGCCTCACGTACCAGACGGTTTTGATCCTCGTCACAGACATACTCGCGAACGGTGTTCAGGATGGACCGACCGCCGACATCGAGAGCGAGGCCGGCATTCCGGGCAGCGGAGGACAGATTCCCCCGGCGCCCGGTGGTGTAGAGGGCCTCCTTGCCCGGGGGCAGGATGTACTGGACGTCCTCGCCCGAGGCCCGGCGGCGCAGGGCGGCCGGGATAATGTCCCCAGGCGACATGCTGAAGATGGTGGAGGTGGCCTCGGCCAGGCGATCGCGCGACCAGACGGCCGACTTGCCCGCCAGCCGGAGTGCCTGACCCGCCAGTCGGAGTGACTGGCCTGTCAGGCGTCCGGCCCGAGCAGGCAGGTTGGCCAGCCACAGGGTCATCCGGCGAGTGAGCGTGCTGTCGGCCAGGAAGGCGGCCAACGGGGCGGTCCACTCGCCGCGGCGAGCCCAGGCCCGCTGGACGTGGGCCCGGGCCAATGCCACGGTGGCGGGGATGCGGGCCCGAAGGCGGCCGGCCGCCGCGCGAACCTTGTCGCGAGCCATGGTCAGGGCGCGGTAGAGGCCGCGCTGCTGGAACTCCTGCTGGATCTGGCGCACAATGCCGCGCGTCAGTTGGGCATACTCCCGAACCCACGGCCGGAGCCATGCGCCAGCGGCGCGAACCGCGCGCGCCCCGGCCCCCAGGGCACCCTTGCCCAGGTGGTAGGCGTCGCCGAGGGCCTGGCCGAAGCGGCGGAAGAAGTCGGCCGCCGGCCGACCGGCCATCGCGCCAAGGCGCTTGCCGAGCTGGGCCCATGTTGCCGCGATCCGAGCCTCAAGACGGGCTACGGCCCCGGGCAGGGCCCGGGCCGCCGTGGCCCACTGGTGCTGGACCGCGCGTGCGGCCCGGCCGGCCACCGTCAGCATGGCATCGAAGGGGGGGACCTGGAGGCCGGCCACGGCGGCGCGAGCCTGCGCATACAGACGCTGGACGCCGCCCGGGGTACGGAGGGCCGTGGCCAGCAGCTGGGCCCGTTGCAGGGCCCCCTCGAAGCCGAGGCGGCTCAGCAGACGCCGGCCGCCGATCGTCAGCTCGCGTTGCTTTTGCAGGGCAGCCGCACGCAGGCGCTCCGCCCCGCGGCGGGCCTCCTTTTGCAGGAGGTCTGCCTGGCGGCGAGCCTGCTCCGCGGCCACGGTCGCGTCCTTCTGGAGCTGAGTCACCAAAGCCGAGCCGTCCTTCTGGAGCTGGGTCAGCTTGGCGGCGCCCTCCTTCTGCAGGGTGGTGGCCATGGCGGCGCCCTCCTT